TGTCAACATAAATGATATAAATATGTATTCCCTGCAAATTAAATTTGTAAATTACTATATCAAGTTAATAAATAAGGTTGAGCTTCTGTTCCAACATTCTGCAAAGAAATATATAAGCACACAAACTCATGGTCAAATACATCACAAACTTCAGACAAACTAAGACCATTAAATAAAGAATAATTAAGTAACAAGTCTTTCTAGAAACTAACAAAAAGGTTATGATCAACAGTATCATGAAAAAATCATAAAAAACTATACATTTGGATAAAATTCTCCTGCAAGGAGAGAAGATCAAAATTATCATAGACTCAACAACAATCAAAGAACATGTAAGACACCATTTTTAGAAATGAACACCTACAAGAAATACACAACCACTGGATAATCATCCACTATGAAAAAAATGGTATTAACCCAAAAGGCATATTCAGACATATTGATATGAAGCTACAATCCAAAAAAATCTCGAAAGATGAACTCAACAATACAATCAAAGAGCGAAGTAACAAATCGATACTAGGACTCAACCAAATTCACTACATTGCCTATAAATATCTGGAGAAAAAGCCAAAGAAGAAGTCTGGAGAATATTCAATCAAATAATCCAATACAGTGACACTCTAGCAAAGTGGAACAAAAGAATTATCTACCCAATTCCAAAATTAAAGAAATAGGAAAAAAATCTTGACATTACAAAATTAATCACTCTACTCGATACAGGAAGAAAAATTTTCACAAAAATCCTAACTTATAGGCTAGCTAGTTACATTAGGAAAAAGGAAATTCTATTAGAACATAACTAGACCGCACTTCCAAGAAATAGAAAACAAGATCCAATATATATAATTAGCAGCATAATAGAACATGCCAAAGAAAATAAACAGCAGGCATGGATTCTCAACCAGAACATATCCAAGGCATATAACTTAGTCAACATCAAGATGCTGACTTTAACCCTCAAAAAAATAAAATTCCAAATCAAATAATTCGAATCCTAATCAACATATTACATATCAGACAAAACTCTATAATTAGATGCTATGGCTTAATAGAGAAATACAATGTACAAGATGGCATCAATCAAAGAGACACAATCTCATCACTTTTGTGGTAAATCTTTTATGATCACCTCTTGATCATGATTATGAAAATTCATAAAGGATACACAATAAGTTCAAAACACTGTAAAGACCTAAGAAGAGGATGGAATTGCAGAACTACCAATATGGTCTCAATGTGGGTCACTAATAACCAGAAAGGCCTATAACAAGTCATAGATACTGTACAACAATTTTATCATATTAATGATACTCAAGTGAATTCATCAAAATCACAACTCTTGATTATCAATGGAAAAGATATAGACTATAAACAAGGGGTCAAAGGAATAAACTAAGAATAGAAGGCTGCAAACTGGATATATCAGTAAAAATTTTAGGAATATAGTATGACAGCTCCGGGTAGAAAAAATATCAAAGAAATCTTATAGACCAAAAGATAAATAGAGCTAAAACCCTACTAGGGATGAAAAAAGTGATAGACAAGCAAATACAATATATCATTAACCATGTCCTTATATCATGTATAAAGTATCTATGCAATGATATAGTCCTATCCAGAGAAATCTGCAATCACTTAATGAGCAGAATAGCTACAACATACAAGCACAAATTAGGTTTTGCAAACACAGTTTCAAATAAAACACTATATAACAATCAGAAATACAATCTAATGCACTTGTGGAATAGACTAGTTCTATTATATCTAAATAACTGGACAATCAGAATCAACCTTAATAACACCACAGGTAACATAGCTAAACATAAACTTCAATCACTACAGAATATATATTGATCAACAAAACCAATTCTCATCAGCATGAGACACATATTTTTGGAGCATAGTGCAAATCTTACATATGATATAATTTGACTACTAAGAACACATGACTTTAATTTCAAGCAAATAAGAAATGAAGGCCTGTCAGTAATTAAAAAAGAAGGCTAAACCATCCAAGAACTATAAGCGAGAGCTTTTATCAAAAATATTGAAGCAAGTTAAAAAAACTCAACCTACTCTTCACAGACCAACTTCTGAATAGAGTCAAACAAAAAATACTACAATGGAATCAACTCATTAGAATCAACAGGACAGCAATATAGGGATCAGTCCTCACATGGTTTTTGAATATAAAAAACAAACTAGATTAACAACTAAATCTAACAATACAATCAGCTGACTCTTTATATAATAACATTCTTCAATGCAAGTCAAATACAATAAGCAACATAACAATATCACATTGGATTAGAATTGAAATAAACAATTAAATAGTTATTGATAGAAAACAATGAAAAATAAACACAGAATCAGCAATTTACAAACACTATATATAGAACCCAGAACAATCTTCTTTACTGGATTGTCCTGGATGTGATATTAACCAGGCAAACAATTTTGAGGCTACCTGTAACTTTGAAGCAACAAAGTAGACAACAGTAGAAATTCCAGTCCATTATAGTAGAGAATCAATACAACAATACTCAATCAAAAAAAAACCAAACTTCAGAAGCTAAATATTATTAAACTTCTTATAATTAGGTCTGCTAGTATTAATACATCCACCCAGATAGGAAAGAATAGAAATACAGAAACTGAAAGTACTGAAGAAGAACCTATATAGAATTACATACACAATCTTTACGATGCAGAGAAATCAATTATTAAGGAACTTTTTGATATTAGTCAAGAACTCTGAGATGACATGCACTTCGAAATATATACTGATGGCTCTATAAGCTGGCAGAATGGATAACATCATATAGAAGTAAGATGGACTTTAACAACTAAAGACAATAGATGCTTCAATTTCCAAGGTCAAGTTCAAAACTTTTCCTTCTTAACCAAAGCAGAACTAATGGCCATTCTCACAGCCATTAGCACTCTTCCTCATTACAGCAAAGCACAAATATACGCGACAGCATGCCAGCCATCAACTGTATTCAAAATACAAACAAGCTTATCACTACACTACACTACAAAAAACAAAAAAACTCAAATATTCTACAATTAATCAAAGAAATCCACAACAATGAAATATAAAGTTGAAGCTGTTCAAAGTCTGAGTACACACAAAAAACATACAAAATGAACTTGCAGATCAATTGACAGAAATTGGTCAACATAGAGGAATGAAACCTAATACAAGAAATATCACATACAAAACTGAAATTCTAAAGAAATACATATCTCTACATAGTGGAATGAACAAGACCTAGAAATACCAATAAAAGAAACAATCAAGAAAATTACACAAGCAGTTCACTTAGCTAAGTAGAAGCTCTTGATCAGAACTAGAAACAACTTTGATGACCACTTAATTCAAAAAATCCACCGACTCATCACCTTCAAATACCTTTAGATCACCAAAATGAGCAATCACATGACAAACTGGAAGAACCAACAACAAAGGAGATTTCTGTTAAGTTTATGGAATGAAGAATTGTCTACAAAAACTAAACTACATCACAGAGCACCCTCAATCTACAAAGACAACTTGTGTATAAAGTGTAGAAAAATGTAGACAAATATACACCTTTTTATCTGCACCACACACAAGGCAATGACAGAACATTTTATTGTATAATCAATAGCATTAGTACAAACATCACAAAATATTTAAACAAAACCAACACATCAGAATGGATAAACAAACTAAAGGAAAAAATGTCACTATTATGAGAGATACCTGAAATGTGCAATCAGAGGAGCCTTCCTCAAGGAAACAACTCAAATTATCCGTGAAGCAATCCTAGAAAAACAACACAGACATGATTGCTATATAGAAATCAAAAAAGACATCACAAACTACCTTCAAAAGATTTGGAAGAAACGTTGCGAAGATTTCCAACTCTGGAAAGCACAACAAGGCATCACCAGAAAGATGGAAAAAAAAAGCAAATACATCAAACATGAAATTGAGCCATGGCTCAAAGAAAGAGATGACCATATTAAAGATCAATTTTTACATTTGGTCAACAAGTACATGAACAAAACCATCCAAAACATAACCTCACCCTTTACCATCCTGGAATTTTCTTACAGCACTAGCCCAACCTTGGCAGGTTAGCTTCCTCCGAAATGAGGTGGCAACAAGCCGCGAGGTAAGTACAGTCGAAAGACTGTTTCTTTATCGAACTATATTTGGTAAGCATAGGTAGATATTACACTACATATACATACCCACCATATTTCAAATAAAGTAAGGCTGAGCCAGCGTATTAAAAAAAAAAAAGTTTAAAGTCGGTTATTATTATTGCAAGGAAATAGGACGAACGCATGATATTTTGATATTTCGTAACCTTGACCATCGTTACGAGAATAGAGTGGATGTCGAAATGGACGGCAGAAAGTTCAAATATTACCATGAATTAGCTGAAATCACAGTGATGAAGTATCTAAGGTTGGCCACTGCTACGCACTTATCCGTAAAAATTATTGTTTCACCGAATCTCCAGATACGGCAGAATCGAAATTAAATAAATTAGACAGATCATTCACAAAATTTCGAAAGCCTCATTCGATCGTAGCAAACGTCATGAGAATTTTTATAAAATTATTTGTACGTATAACTGATCTATAAAAGTACAGTGCCGATAAATGTGATTTCTAATACGCATGCAAATAATGCAATTGCTATTTTCGTCTCGATTAAGATAATTCTATCGCATGGAACACAAACCACTCCAATATTCCGGTGGATGTAACTTCTTGATCTCATCTGGTAGCTCGATAAATTTAACCACCAATCCTGCCTCCACATGCCACTATATTATGTATGAGAGTTAATTAGATCGTGCATGAAAATAATGAACGGAGAAGTGCAAAACCAACCTCTATATGACAATGGAACGCCCACACGCCGGGATTGTCGGCTACAAATCTTAATGCAATCCATCTATTTGCAATCAACCACGCAAGGAAATTTTTTATTATTAATAACATATTTTGGTAGAAAATTTTTTTCTTTTCTTTTTTTTTTTAATTACCCCTGAGCAGGCACAGTGGCCGTGTCTCTTTTCAACGGATCCTTGGTGTTGAATTTAGAAGTTTTAACATCAGTGCCATTGCCTTCTGCTAGTATCCAAAATTGGTGTCCATGCTTTTTAAGATTACAAAATTAGAAGTCAGAATACGTAGAAACGTACGTAGTGGCAGTATATCACGTGTAAAAAAATTACAGTACGTACCAAATGAAATGGATGATCGCCGGTATCAGTGTCTAAGAAATACGAAATTGCTTGTTAATATGATGGGATGATGACTTTTAAATATAAAATTTTCTTTTATGATACTAAACTGATTAGGTGAATGTCAACCACTTCTTTCTTCTCGATAAGGTAAGCATTCTGACTTTTAGGAAATTTAGTCTCTCCGTAAAAGACTTCCTGTAAGGTGGGGCTGTCCAGTGTAATTTCATACGTTGAATTATTAATATATGCCGTATTGACACCTTCTGAGTTATTATGAAATGTGACTACGAATTTAAACGTTTTCTCAGAAGTTGGGATTTTTTCCGGAAATAACGGTCTTAATAAACTGGGTTTTAAATCTACGCATTGTGTCAAATTATCTTTCCAATCAGAAGTTATTGGTTCATGCTTTTCGGGACAATCTTTATATGTGACAATAGCTCTGACAGTATCGGTGAGATTATCGGCCGACACGGGGAAACAATCCTCTTGAAATTCAGATCTCATCCAGTAGGATGATGGAACTTGATTTGCACGAACTAAGACGGAATAACGTTGTGCCACATTTATGGGAAGGCGGTGAACTTTCGCAGGTTTCACGTAGGTTCCATCTGCTTCTATCACTTCAAGTTCGTGTTGGTCAATTGAAAAAAAGAATACGGAGAAGGCGCTAGATTGCATTACAATTCATTTAATTAAGCGCAGCGCTTTAACTCTTAACCGATTCCTCATCTATCGCATCCCAATTACATACCTAGTATTTATGATTCTCAACCGATAAACTTTACCGCTCTCGAAAGTGAACTTGGCTAATGGAAAATTATTTACGCACTTACTCCCCTCAGGTGCCAGAGAACAATTGAACCTTCCCAGACCATTAATTAATCCATTGTCTGGTATGGGTTCATTACCTTGACTTGCGGGAGACAAGTAATATTTCAAAAGTTCACTGGCTTCGGTGTGATAATAGTCTTGCAATATAATAACAATTTCTTCTTCATATTCATGAAGATAGGGGTCGTCGGGATCATCAACTATGAAGGCACCAAATATGCCGTCCACGTATTGGGTTTTGAAGTGTGAATGACTTTTGATAGTAAAGAAATTATCGTTACTCATAACTATCTCATATATGAATGGTCGATAGAAACATACTTACTACCAATATGTCCCACTCTGATCAGGGACACTAAAGTTATAATTCCAGCATGTGTGTGCAGGTATACCACATTGAGTTTCCCCCGGAACGCCATCATACCAATTTGTGCCTCGCTGGAATAATCCGTGACTATGTATGGTAGAAGGTTCGTCCAATTCGTTACAAACGTTCAATATCACTCGGTCACCCTTGGTAATCCTTATAGTGGGGCCCGGTAATGTCCCGTTTATCGTCAAGACATCACGAGTGAAGCCGTCGGGAGCAAGCTGCACTTTTTTAATATCGAGATTGAAAATTTTCGTATGAGAATGAGGAGAATAGTTTGGTGCTGGGGAGCTAGAGGTGAAGCAGGTAAGAAACACGAACAAAAGAATCAAGGTTCTAATGATCATCGTGAAACTTTTAGAAGAATCAATAACCACGATAAATTAGAAAGTTCGATGATCTTCTCGTCAGAATTTAATCCTCCTGTGGTTTTATAAAAATAAAAAATATACGTGTTTAGCGATACCCTTCGTGTGATGATAACATTCATTGTAACGCGGGATGAAATGTAGTACAGAATACGTATATCCTTTTTCATAATAGTTGTATCATTTTTTTTTAAGTAATCGCTTTCTATAAAGAGCATAAAAATGAGGATGCAAACACTCCTCGAGTAGCGAATTTGCCTCGTCAAACGACGTTCAAACGTTATTTTCTTACCAAATAAAGTGAATTATTTAAATGCAGTGATCATTGGAAAAATCTGGAAATGCAAAGTAAATCAGTCTACATTTTAGGGATACACTCAATATAATTATATATACTGTATATACTGTATATATATATATACTGTATATACTGTATATATATATATACTGTATATAATCTAAATTCTGTATATTTATAGAAAATCAAACAATTCAAATTGTTATATTGTTGAGGGTTAACGCAAAAGGCACGAACCCGACGAAAGTCACATTAGCCCTGTATAACGATAGACGTTACGCGAACAAAAACCGTGCATTACATAATGAAACAGACTCAATGGCCACACGAACTGTATAAAGCAGTTAATGATAATGACATGGTAGTCTAACTAGCATAGAAAGAATACTGTGTATAAGCGATAGAAAAGTCGGCTATGTGGAGATGTTAAAAAAGATATAGTAAATAAAGACTCGCCAAATCTTTCATAATTCCTCACCAGTGTTTAGAGTTTGTGGTTTCTTGTATAGTTGTAGACTTATGTGAAGGTTATCTATAACTGTTAGTGATGACTCAGCATACTATATATGAAGTGACGAATTATTTTTTATTATGTAATTATCGTTAAATGTTACAATTCACAGAGTCCGCCAAGAACACAACACCTGTTGATCAATCTTTAATTGTTCAAATTAAATCAGATCACGATGAAATTCATAATTTAGATAGAGTATAATGTGATATAATTAATGTATATAATAAAATAGTAATATAATTAATAAAAAAAAATTTTTATTTGAAAATTTACTGTTGCATGATTTTTAACTACATTTTTTTTTATTTATTTTTGAAAAAATATATTTAAAATTATAAATATATATATACTGTGTATTTTTATTACCATCTTGTATAAACACCTTTTGCTTAATAACATTATGGATTCTCTTAGACATTGTTTCTATAAATTTTTTACAAACTTATTTGATTCCAAATCTCTAATAAATTATTCCAAAAAGGTTCTGTATTCTTAATATCAATATCTAAATCATTAACTCTTCTTTTCACATTACACCAGATAATTTCTATTGGATTTAAGTTTGAATATTGTGATGGTCAAAAAAATAGTTTTAAATTTTTTTGGTTTTTAACTATTTTTAAATTATTTTTAATTTGTGTTTTGAATCATTATTATGTTAAAATATGATATCTTTAGAAATTAAATTATAATAATCTAATGAATACATTAATTTATCTTTCAAAATTTGTTTATAGAAATTATTATTAAGATTTTCTTTAATTCTTAACAAATATCTTGTACCTGAATAAATAAACCATTTCTATAAACTAATTTTATTCCTATTAAATTCAATTATAAAAATTATACAGTATATTGATTCTTTAAAGATTTTATAGGTTTTTTTCAGAAATATTTTTATTTTTAAGATTTAAAAATTTGAAATTTAGTCTCATTAGACCAGATCATCATATTCCAAACTTTTATATTTAATTTTTATATTATTTTAAAAAGTCCAATCAAATTTTTTTATGTTTCTTAAAAAAATTTTCTTTTTTTTTTTTTTTTGTGAATATCACTAATCAAAATTATATTATTCAGCAGCAAATTATTGCTAAATATAATAATAAAAATATTAATAAATTATTTTCAATTGTTACAACTCAACATTCAGTATACTATAGCAAAAAATTTCAATATAAAATTTAACAATATTATAAAAAATTTTTGATATATTATACAAGAAATTTATATACTACAACAAAAAAATTTTTTTTTTGTATATTGTAATAAAAAATTTGGTTAAATAATTGATGCTGCAATAAAAATTCAACAAAAAACTAATACTGTGATAAAAAATTCAGCAAAAAAAATTGTATACTGCAACAAGAAATTCAAAAAAGTTATAAATCTAGTATTAAAATTTGATAAATATTTAGAAAGTTTAAGAAATTTTATAAAATTTATTAAAAAATTACAAAAAATTACAAAATAGATTGATTAAACTATTCTATATTTTCCTCTCTTATTCTTTCTCTTTCTTCATTTCACTTGTTTTTTTTTTAAAAAAAATATTTCAAATTGACTCTTTTAAAATTGGCTTTAATTAATTTTATTTTGTCAAATATTTTCTAAAATTTTTCACTTTTTTTCTTCTAACTTCTTAACTATCTCTTGAATTTTATCCATTCATGTGCCTTCCCTGGTTTGTTCCTCACTCTTTGAATACATTAATATTTTTTATATTTGATAATTTTTTATTTTTTGAATTTAACTGTCAATTTATTATTCTTTGTTATTTTTTTTTCTTGGTCACATTCTAAAACTTCTTTAAAACTATATATCTAATTTTACAAGCCTTCTAATGATATTTTATTAATTTTAAACTACAACTAGTATTAAATGTGAGACTTTATTTAACAATTATATCCACTATCATTACATTAAACATCTTTATAAATTATATATTGCTATTTACATGCTGTAGCAGGCTAATCAGTGAGTCTGTCACTAATGACCAAAAGCTCGCATAACCTGCAGATAGAAGAGTCCGTCCTTCTATCACACATACAAAACAATACTAAAATCAAGGCAGAGATATAAAAAAATTTGGGTGAGTCTTAAGGTAGTTTTCCCTAAAATTACTTATAACTTTACTGTTATAACAATCTATTCAAAAGATTTATCATGAGATTCGTCATTTTATTAAGTCATTGAAAGAAGTTATATTTATACATTTTTACACATAGGACTATTACATAATCACTATGGCTATTCTAGTATTATGTC